AAATAGTTTAATCCAACTTTCCTGCAGATGGACTGAGTAGAGGACCGGAAGTGCCGGCCTACATGTTCCAGGACAAACGTTTCGCCTCCTGAGTAACTGCTCCAATAATAATAATAATTGAACTTTATTGATCTCACATTGGAGAATTTCACTTTCTATATTTAACCCCTCCCCTTGGGGGGCAGTGGGCTGCCATTGTGCAGCGCCAGGGGAGCAGTGTGGGGTTAAGGGTATTGCTCAGGTCTGTGGGGAACGAACCGGGTGCAACCTTCTCAGAGCACAGAGCACTGCTCTACCCACTAGGCCATCACTCCCCACCAACAGCAGACATATAGATGAGCAGCTTTGCAGAAACAGATCTCCAAACATGCAACCTGATCTGTATCTTATAATTGATCGATCTCCTGTTCATTGATGAGACTCGACTTTAAACAGACCTTTTACCCTGAAGATAAAGTTCTTTGTTTTTCAGGAAAAGATCCAGAACCTTCCAACAGATCCGTTCTCTGATAAAATAATGTAAATCAATTTCACTGCAAAAAAATTTAATCTAATAAGTAATTTTTTCTTAAAATAAGTGAATTTCTTTTTCTTGAATTGAGGAGGTGAGACACTTTGCCAATGGAACAAGACAATTTAAATTTAAAATAAGAAAAAACAATTGCATTGTCTTATTTCAATTGCATATTATCTAATTATCTTATTTTAAGAGTAAAATACTCATTCTATTGGAAGATCATCTCATTTACCTACTTGAATTAAGGGTAAATACACTTAAGAGTTTATTTTTTACTTATTTCTATATTGTTTTTCAGTGTAATTGGAGCAGCTCTTCCTTCTCAGATCCAGCGGTGCAGAGCCGCCAGCCTTCAGCTCTCTGACTCTTCTTTCTTCTCCAGTTTGGGTTTTAATCACAAACCTAATTCTCTTTTTTTAAGTTTACATCCAGTTTTCTTACTTCTTTGAGCCGCTTCCATCCTAAAAAACACTGATTCCTGTTTCAGTTCCCGGACCTACTGGATCCCCTTCAGCTGATCTAAATCATCTAGATCACTACAGCTTATTTGATCCGAGTATTTCCTGTTTCTCATATGTTTGTTTAATCTGATCGTTAACAGTTATCTAAATCTTCCTGTCATTAATAATGCCATTCATTTTCATAATCATTTTATTTTCAAATACTAAATACAAATATAAAAGCACAATGTTTAAAGATCCATCAGACTCTCATGTAAACAGGAAAATATTACAAAAATATGAAGCTCGTACTTTGTGTAAATAAAATATAATTATAAAACCTTTACAAACATTTTCACAGTGTTGTTATCATCAAAGACTTGGCCAACAGTGCAGCGTTTCTCAGAGCAGTGGTTGAAGGGTTTGGACCCAGAAACGATGCTGAAGCAGCTCTGAGCCGACGGCGTCGCCAAAGGATCGACTTTAAGGCCCCGTGGAGCCGGACGCCTGGATCCGTAGCAGAAGCTGCACTTTAACAGCTTCCTGTTTGGGCTCAGGCCGTGCAGGAGAACATGCAGCAGATCATGGAGGCAGGAGTCCGCCAGCAGACCAGAGCCAGGGTCTCTGCTGCTCCTCAGACCTTCGGAGGAGGGACGGGCCTCAGAGCCTGGAGGACAGAAAAACAGACAAAACCTGCGTTCATTTGCAATATTTAAATGTTTTACAGAAAGTTTAAATACCCAAACAGACAGCAGAGCAGGGGCGGAGCTAGATGGGGGGCCATGGTAACCCTTAGGCCATTTTTCCCCTCTAATACAGACGGTGACATTTTAATTTTTCATATGTTGACAGATAAGGGCTGGTTATCATCCCGCAGCAGTGTGTCGCAGTTAGCAGGTATGATATGTTTGATTTATGCCCAATATTGAAGCGTTTTCGGCGCCATCTTATTCCACGCCAGAGGGACAATGAGGAACCAGCTGGGATTGTGGGCGTCCGTGTGTCGGTTTGACGAGCTTGATCGACGTCTACAACCCCTCATCCAACGCCGGACGACGCACAGTTCACCCGTGTTCCCCAAAGACTGGCTTTAGCGCTGGGTGTTTTGGCTTTGGGTGCAAACCAGCAGACCGTTGCTCAGAGCTACAAACTAGCGTCCTGCACGGTGTCTAGGATATGTTAGGTTTATTCTTTATACATCATGTGCATTGTTACTTTATTAGCCAGATTAGAGAGTAGATGGCCTTCCTTCACATTGTGGATGTCACTGTGTGTACGGAGGTCAAGGGTTAAGAGTAGTAGTTATTAACTTGCTCCCAGGAAAAGAACCGAAAGGAAAGTCTAGAGGTGCAACTGCCTTCAAGGGGACATAACTTCCTCATTTTAACAGATAGTGTCCAAGGTGTGCCAGGCGTTGTGGATGGCGCTACAGCCAGAGTTTCTGCCATTAGGTACCAAACAGGAAATAGTGTAGAGTGGATGTAGAATTGGGGGGGTCGGTATAGCTGCTTTAACTGCAACACACGCAGACCACCTGGTTTATGAGCATAAACCAGCCTTTACTTGACAACAAAGACACTGTGGTTAATTATGCACATCAATCTACTAACATTAAAGATGAAAAGAATTCCAGCTCTTTTCGGAACTAGAACTAAATTTAGTTTTATGGGGTAAAGAGAAAAATATGTCCTTGCAAGTCAGAAATAAATATTTACTTTATTAATCCATTCAATGTAGATATTAGAAGTTCTAAATATTAATTTTTGTGCAGAGCAATTATTGATAAAAGTATGTAAGTAATGATAACAAACTCAAGCTTGAAATAATTTTGTCCACTAGACCTTTAATTTAGACAGCATTTAATGCAATTTATTTGTTAGCAAATAGTCTTTTATTTAGAAAATAAAGATTTTGTGGTTAATTTTAATTTTGGATCAGTGTAGATTGACCCTGAGGTTGTTTTGCCTATATATCCACTTTCAGCCTCCCCTCAGTGTCCATTGGTTCCTACCTACCTGGCTACCCTCTGTTAGCATTTCCTGGCTACGCCTCTGCAGCAGAGGATTTATAAAATCCTGTACAGACATTAAAGTTGTGTTTGGGTTTCTGGGTCTCTTTTTCTTTTCCCGTTCGGCTTTAAATGATGATTTTATTTTATTAAATTTTTTTGTCCAGATGACTGACAGCACAGATGGAAAACTCCCTGAAGAAATGAGTGATTCAGTCTCCTCCCACCCATTAGGAACCAGCCTGTTTATGGCTGCTGGTGCTGCCACCTAGTGGTCATTTTAATTCCTACCAGCAGGTCCAAACCACTGATCTCTATTTATTCACTGGATTGCTGATTGCCCGAAAAAGGGAGAAAGGTGAAGCCACCATCCGTCATATTGGTACTCCCCGCTCCCACAGAGACACACAGTAAAAATGCCTCCCTTTGCAGCATCTGGCTGCAAAAACCAGCAGCTCCACGGGTAATTTCCCAGTCAGTGGATGAACTAACCAATAAATCCATCTATAGCTGATGGATCCTATAGTATAGTCTGTAATGTAACATTAGTCTAGCTATCTCAGACTGACTGGAAGACATTGAGTTAGACACTGACATTGGGTCTAACTAAGTGGATGATGTCGTTTTTGGAGTGTTTGTTGGAAAAAAGTCATGTGCTGAAATATATTGCATTTTATATTCACGGAAAAAAGAAACTCAAGCATTTGACCCCTATATATAGGTTATATATATATATATATATATACCATAATTTGTATAGTATATATAGTTACCGTATCAATTTAAGTAATCCATGTATAATTACGTCATCAGTTTTGCACTTTTGGCTCATCTGTATTATTCTGCTCCTTTAACACATTGATTTTATTGTGATTTATTGTATAATATGTTATATTACATGATTATAGACTTTATAATGACTCTGCAATGTGATGGGCCTATTTTTATTCTAAGTTAAAGTTAATCTGCTGATGCTCTGAAACAGCCAGTCTGTGTCAAAGTGATGAATTTATTTTAATTTTAAAAGTGAAGTCCCCCTGAAAATGAGAACATCTTCAATGTTCGACGCTGTAGCGCATGGATTGTTTCCATTGCGACCGGTCTAACTAGGGAGTACCAATATGGAGATCAGTGGTCCAAACAAAGATGACAGCATCAGTGTGACCTTCATGTGCTCTGACCCGAGGGGGGCGGAGTTTACCTGGCGTGCAGCTAGGTAGTTCTGGCTCGGAGGTTTGGGTCGGTTCCCTGCTGCAGGTGGTGGAGGCGGAGCGCCTTTGGGCTTCGGTTTTGGTGCCTAGAAGTTGATGGACAGTTAGAAGCAGCAGGTCTACAGGTGGAAGCATGACCCGGTTCACCTTTACCTGTCTGAGAGGCATGGGCTGACCAATGCTGGCCTTCTGGTTGGTTCTGGGAGCAGAGCTGCGGGCCGCTGGAGGCTCCCTGGGGGCCGATAAACTGTCAACACAGGGTTCAGTCATCATCATCATCACAGCAGTGCAACAATAAACCATCTGATGGGTGGAGGCTGCTTACGTTGGCAGAGAGGGAGCCTGTTTCTTCTTCTTGCACATGAATCCAACCACACCAAAAATCAGACCCAGGACCACCAGGATGACAGCCAGGGACACTGCGACCTTCGCCCCTGCAGGGATCGGTTCAAAATGACTCCAGCTGCGGCGCAGCAGTAACAAGCGAAGGTCCAAATCCGCCCAGAGGCGGTTCTTACCGGTGGAGAGCGAGTTGAAAGCTTCATCCTGAGCTCCGCAGTTAGGAGGCAGCCAGCCAGGCGTGCACTGACACTCACTCCTGTGATTGCACACCTGCACAACAAGCATTAAGAAATAAAAAAAATGAGATTAAAGCGTCAGAACATCATCCTACTAAAAAAAAAAATTATTTTGTTTATTTAGGATTCAACTTGATTAGATTTTTCTTAGTGACGATTATTTAAGTTGAATCTATGATTTAATGCAGAATAAAAATCCTCCCTTCATTCATTAACATCAGCTTTCTTGGAGCTGGTAAACTTCCTGGGGGCCCAATAAAACTCTGTTTACATGTATGGTTCATACAACTATTCCTTATTTCTGCACATTAATTAGGTTTTTGATCAAA